AGAACATCCAGGGTGGGGCAGGGGAAAGAAGAATCAAAATGTGGATAATTTATATCACAATGTCATTTATATTACGTAAATAAAAATAATGTTATCGAATCTGCAGACATTAATGAAAACACTTGGTTAATAAGGGAATAAGGGTTAATAAGGATACAAATATATAGGGTGGGCTTCTTTTCAGTGGTGCCTAGAATACCCATTAGCCCCATTCAGGGATGGCAGAAGTGTGGTGAAAGACATCTGAAAGGTACCAAGCTGGAAAAAGCTGATGTTGGATATTGAAACTTCCTTGGGCGTGTGTACAGATGCCCAGGTTCTATACCTTTTGGCCTTCTGCAACAGGGAACTGTAGTTTGGTGAAAGCCCTAAGAATATGCTGGCCCCTTCAAACTAGGTTTCTGTGGAGAGACAATGACTAACACTCCAGTTTGCGTGGTACATATACCCTGAGAAAACAGTTAGGGAAATCACAAAAAGACTGGTTCAGAAAAGGCCCGGGAGTGTGGTCTTTTACATGTGGCAGAAAACCCTGGACTTTCCTGCAGCCTCCTACGATATGCAAAACGCCACAAGCAATCTGGGGCATTCCTCTGCACGCAAGCATGCAAGCTCACATGAGGTTTCAGATGGGAAAGACACTCCTGTGACCCTCCTTCACACGCCCCAGGGGGAGAGCAGGAGTCACATGTCTTCGTGGGGCCACTCCACACCCCCAGGGGCATGCGCTGGCCGGTCACATAGGTCTTTCCAACCTGGTGGTCACCCTCCTTCCCAGCCCAGTGTGATCAGGTGGCAAGAAGCCCTCTGCTCCAGCAGCCCCAACAACACAGTTGCTTCCTCCGAGCAAACTCTCTCATGGCACACAATCAAACTGCAGGGAAGCAGCTCTGTGGCTGGGTGCAAATGCAGCGGCTCTCCCCTTGGTACTTTTAGCCCACACATTAAGCAAGGCATCTGACATAACTAATGGTTCTGATGGAAACAGACATTTTTAAAATCATCATATTTGCTTAAAGAGGGGGCAGGGGAAGCCATCACAGCTATATAACCTGGCTTCCATTCTCCTTCCCCATTGTCCCCAGCAAATAAATAAATAAATAAGGAAGGGATGTGTCAAAATAAACAAATGAGTAGAAATGGCCAGTGTGCTCAGTACCAGATGGTTGCCTCCCAGTATTCAGCCTGATCAGTCAAACCCTGACTATTTTCTTGGACCCACAGTCTATAAAACAGAGATGCTGTTATTTGTGATGGGCAAACAAAAGCAATCATGCCTGCCAAGCCCTGTACTATAACAGGCAGCCTTTCAGCTCTGCTAGACAGAAAGTAATTAGAATGCTTTTAATGTCCAAAAGAATGATGCTGATAGGCTGCCACAGATGTGTAGATTTATGAATATTTATATGGTGGTTTATAGCTGACACTTTTATCAGTTGAAGAAGATAAAATATCTGCCTGACTCAAAAGCCTGACAGTCAGGTTAATAAAATCTCATTAAAGAGAATGACCTATGCAATTATATAGGATTTATTGTAATTCATTTTTGATTGTAGTCTGCTTAAAGATGCAATTTCCCATTTCCTGGTGCCAAATTTAGGCTGCATATCAAGAACTACGTGAGCTCCAACACCAAGCCATCAGTAGAAGAGAGAAAGGAGAGAGAGAGAGAGAGGGATGCATTTAACATTTTAGTAGGTTATACCTTCAGAGAAAGAAATATTTTGATCTTGTTTTCATTTCAGTTAACCTCCCCAAGGCTCAAGATTTTTTAAAAATCAAATTCTCTGGGCCCATTCTTGGGATTATTTTTAGTCTGCTTTCTGCTAATAGTCCATATATAAGGTCTTCCTATTTTACAGAAGCAAGTGAACAGAGGTGCTTATTTTGGCCTTGCCTTTTCTCAGCTTACTGGAGAAGCAGCACTTGGTTCTCTTCTGAAAGAGCGATTGCAGATTAGAACAGTGAAGCAAAACATCTTGATTGCAAGGCAACTATGAGAAAATGGGTCCATTTGCAACAAAAGGGTTTAGATAGGGCATGGAAAACTTTGTCGTCTTTTCCATCCATCCCACATGGGCAGGAGTTTCACAGTATAAGATCAACAGTACCCCTTCAGGTAGAAATCATATGGGCCTGACAGAAGCTAAAAAGTTCTGCATACAAAGCTGCCCTAGGTGGAGTTGGACCTTCTATAGGTGGGTCTTCTATAGGTAGCCAACATGATCCACTTCGCTACTCCAGTTACTAGCCTGCCTCTGAGGTCTTTCTTAGCCCTTGAGATTTAACTCAAGATTCCATGGACTGGACCTGATTCTCTTCCATGTGCAAAAACATAACTTACCATGATAAAACTGTGAACTTTCTGGTCTACAGTGAAAAATCAGTGTAAGTAGCTTGGTGAAAGCATGGGGGCTTGTAACCAAGCGTACTGCAGATAACCACTTCTTCTGTAAGTATTAAGTCCTAAATCCATTTGCAAGGGAGCAGAAATAGGGCCAGACCAGGGATGTATCAGAGCGACAGTGAATCTCAGGGCTAAAAGAGATCCAGAAATGGTAAAGACAGTTAAATACAAGGAGTGGGTTTGCTTGCCACAAGAAGCCACAGTTTTTTCTTGCACAAGATGGGTCTGTTGTGTTGTCTGAACCCTGTCATGGTATTACAGCATGGTATACTTGGGTTTTAGAAACCACAATAAGAAACAATGGTCTATTCTATGGTTTCCACACTTCACCAGGATTACTGCAGTTGTCTAAAGCCAGTGGTTTTCATGGTCCTGGTATGCAGCTGCCAGAGTCCCCTGGAAAGAGCCATTCAGTGTGGGACTGAATTTCAGGCACAGTGGCTGGTGGGCTAATGAGCCGACAGCAGGAGAACTGAGGAAGGAGGGTAGAAACCACACTAACACAGAAATGTGGCAGGCACAGTCAGTGCATAGTGGAAGCTACTCAGGGTTGACTTTCATGATTTGTGAATCTGGCCAGGATGGAAGTCCTACCCAGAATGGACACACTGAAATGGTAAGGACTTGTCAGGACTTAAGATGCAGATATTTTCACAGCTCTGCTTTAAAGAGGGCTTATTTTGACTTTCGGCCAATGGACACATTGGGAGTCCCTGAGGCAAGACAAGCTTGGTATTCTTTAGGTCTTCTTGTATAACCCTCTATGGCAGCTTTGCTCCAACTGGACAAGGCCGAGGGAGGCTGAAATTGGGAGAAGCTTCCTGGAGCAAAGGGACAATCTGAGGGACAGCATCTGTAGACACCTCCGACACAACTTTGCTCCAAAGAACAGGTAACACATGGAACATCCGGTTAAACGGCAGGTGCTTTTCCCCTTCCCACCTCCATTCCTAGCTAGATGTCTGAGATGTCCCATTCTAGTCCTTTTCTAATGCTGAGGCGATCAAATGACAAATTCTGACATGGAGCTTTGTGAGGGTCTTGTATGCTTTGCTGCCCAAAAAAGAGCTGACAGTGGGAGGAAGGAGCTTGGAGGTAAAGATTTGAAGGGGGCAGTCTGAATTCAGTCTGACAATTGTACCAGGCTATTTTCCAGCCCCCTTTTCCACGAAAAGCAAGAGCAACCCCCTCCTGGTCGGCAAGGAGGATTTGTAGGAGGACCTCACTGAAGATGGTGGCAAGGCTGGGCTTTGTTCCTAGTCTTCAGATCTGACCAGCATGAAGTCCTGCTCCACAACCCCTTCTTGTCTCTGAGCAGACAAATGGGGAAGGGAGAAATAAGAAACTAGGGCTTCAGCTGTGGAGCTCCAAAGCATGCCTTGTTCTCCACATGTAGAATCTTCAGCTCCCCACAGAGTCTGTTGTACTATGTTGTCCCCAGAAGGTGTTCCCACCCGGCTCCATTTTTTTCACTGCTCAAGGCTCAAGGCAAGCCTGGAAAGCACCTCCTGTGAATCTTCCGTGGGGATGTGTGTGGAATAGTTATGGCTTGGCAGCCAGGGTAAGATACTCTGTGCATGGGCAGAGATTGCTCTTCTTGCAGCTCACAATCCTGAAACACTGGAAATGGGATCTGAGGCCGTGCAGAATTATGGAAGGTGATGGGAGGTGAGGAGGACCATTCCCCCAATCTTTCGAGAACTTTAGTTTTCAGCTGGTATCATAGCAGCTGAAAATGTACCCCCACTCACATATACCCCCCACTCAGAGATTCTGAAACTTTTGCACAGCCCCTGCTGCAGGTATCGCTCCTGCTCAAATGTTACTTTACCCTTAGGCCATTTCCAAGGGACACTCAATATTTCGTTCAGGAGTGGTTCATTTCCAAATGTCGAAATGCCCTTTTCAGTGAGGGAGGCTACGGTACTTCATAAGCAGTGCCAGCCCTAAACATTTTGCTGCCTGGAGCAAGGGACAAGATCCTCCCCGTTCCGCAAAGGGGGGCAGCAGACTAGCCCGGGACGCACTGGCAGGCTAATGTGGCCATTCTGTGGCCAGCACCGGGCCTCTGCTCTTTGCCCAGTCCCCAGCACCTGCTGCCCGAAGCCTTATCGTCACTACTACTGTTGTTACTATTTATTATTGTTCATCACATTTCTATACCGTCCGGCAGCCAAAGCTGCTCACAGTAATAGCTATCCCCTGCCTTTCCCAAGCACATAATTGTTGCTTGGGGTGCAAGCAAGAAGGCCCTGCTTTCTCCTCAGCCCTGTATTAACACGTTCTCTCAGCCTCCACACCCCAATCCTCAAAGAACCGTATGACCAAATCTAAAACTAACCTGCCTTGCAGCAGTGCTGTCAAAAGAATGCCTATAAACACTTCAAATGCTCCACATGCACCTTGCAATATCTGAAAGCGGTTAACGATGGCTTGTGCACTCTGCACATGCTCAGAGACACTCTTGTTACTTTACATCTTCCAGGAAAAGAAAAGCTGGCATACAAAATACATAGCGTCGGGGGGGGGGGTGAGTACCTAGAAGCTGCACTGTATAAAAATGCGGCCGGCAAACCCTCCCGAAAGTTCATACCTGCGCTCAGTTCCAGGCTGCCGGTGCTACTACCGCTTCCCTCGCTGCTGCTGCTACTTGCTGCCCCCTGGTGGCTGTGGCCGTACCTGGCCGAGAAGGAGGAAGAGGAGGAAGAAGCGGCCGGAGCCGCCTGATGTCCCAGCTGCGGAGCTGGAGTCCGGGGGGGATGGCCCTGCGAGGAGGCTCTACCGCCGGGGTAGGAGCCGTGCGTTTGGTAAGGCGGCTGTTGGTGCTCGCCGGCGGACGACGAGGAGGAGGCGGCCGGCAGCGGCTGGAAGTGGTGGTGGGGGTGCTGCTGCTGGTGGTGCCCGACGCCCGCCCTGACCTGCGGGATCTCCACCATGGTGGGTCGCTCGTAACGCTTGCTCAGCGCCGGTCTCCTGCTGCTGGGAAAGGTCTTGAGGACGCTGTACGGGCTGCGCTGCTGCTTGTAGATCTTGGCCACGCTGGGGCCCTCCTCCGCCGCCGGCTGCATCGCTTCCTCCATCAGCATCGCGCTCGCTCTCGCCCCGCCGGTGCGCGCTCGGCTCGCAGAGCACCGTCTCCCGCCGCCGCCGCCGCCTGGGCTTGATGGTGGCACCGCGCTCCTGAGCCCCGTCGCGCGGCGCTGGGGGAGATGCGGGCGGGGGGAGTTGTAGGCGTGTGATTGACAGGCAGCTTCGCCAATGCCTGGAGGGAGAAGGGAGGTGAAGCGCGAGCGAGGGAGCCCCCAGCTGCCACCCCAGCCGCTAATGGGAACGGCCCGGGGTGGGGAGGCGGGATCGCCCGGAGAAGGGCGACGCGGATTGCGCCAGAAGCGCTGCTGAGTGCGCCTCCCCGGCAGGTGCCTGAAGCGGGAGCGCCCGAGGGGGTGGGTGGGAGGAGACCGGGGGCGCCACAAAAGTATGTGGGGCTGGCCGAGCCAGGTCCGGCTTCTCCGTGGGTAGGCGGCTTGCTAGTTTCTGCGCGCTTATTTTGGAGGAAGCCCCATAGAACTCGCTGTGCGTCTGCCCACGGCCGTGCCCACTTTTGCGATAGAGACCTTGAACCGAGAGAACTGAAGCGCATCGCGTGGGGGCAGCCCCGCCGTTGGGTCCTTGGCACTTTTACTCAGAAGCAAAGCCAGTGGGGTGTCATCCTCCTCCCAACTTTGTTAAACCTGCGCAGGACTGCATCCGGGGGTCAAAAAGACGTTACTTTAAATGAGTGTCTAGTAGCTGTGTATTTTCATGTTTATTCTAAAGTAGGCGTAGCCCATCTGGATCAGGCGCCCTAAAACGCGGGCGCGGGGAAGAAATGGGTTATTAGAATCCGGATGGGGCTCGTTGCATCTACTCTAGAGTAAAAACGAGAAGGCACAACCTCCAGATGCGCATTGAAAGTCTTAGGTCAGTTTTGGTCCTGGGCTTTTCCGACCCCCCTCCTCCCACCCCCGAAACACGCACACGCACTTCGTTCCCTCAAGAAAAATAGCAAGCAAAGCTGCAATCCCGTCCTGTACGCACCAATCGGGGACTAAATCCATTTGCACTCAGTGGGACTTCTGAGCAAACATGCGCAAGGTTCCGCCGTTAATTTGGGCGCGAGACAGTCTACAGAGCCCGCCGCCTGAAGCCCCATCCCCGCAAATGCAAGGGGGCGCGATCGTGCTGGCCCCTTTCCCCTGGGACTGGGATCACGCAGGCTGCCTCATTGCCATGCACCCCTTATCCCGGCATGTCTCCCTTTCCTCCCCGCGCCGCCCGCCCGCCCGCGAGAAGGCGGCGGTCTTGGTGCGCGCACACACCGACAGACATACCTGCCCCACCCCGCCCCCGCCCCGCTTAGCGAGGAAATCAAGCATGCCGATAAATAAAAGTATTTGGGAGCCTAGGGAAGCCGTCAGCGCCGATTAGCGCGCAGAGGACATTTTGTTTCTCATTATGCAAAAGCCGCTCCATGGCGAAATCGGAGAGGCGGCGGCGGCGGCGCTGTAACTCAGGCATGTCAGCTCTCCAGGAACGCCAGAGATTCATCGCGTCCTTCGACGTGATTTGCAAGAAAGACTCGCTGCTCTCTTTCTCTCCCTCCGCGATCAGAGGCGTTCCGCGCTTCCCAAACTCTTTAACGAGGTGGACACGTGGCCGCCCCCCACCCCCAGGCAGGGAAGGGGCATAGTTCAGGCCAAGCAAGGCAAGCTGCCGCCGGCACCCGCGTCTCAGCGCCGGGGCCGCGCTATGGGCGAGACGAGAGACAGGCGGTTCGAGGAAATGGAGGGAAAACAAACAAGGCAGGCCAATTCTTTCCACGCACACGTTTTGCATTAGTGTCGCTGTCTTTCTTCCAGGCCTTGCTTCGCTGCTACCACTCATTAGGACTGCAATAAAGCCTTTGGCTTTTCGGTGCCAAATTCCAGCTCTCCTCATTCCTGATATTCTTCTGAAAGGTGGGAAAACGCAGCTGTGTGGTCACCTAGAGCAGGTTACCTGCTTGCCAGGATCACACCTCGTCCTTTCCCCAGCAACTTATGTTTGGCTCTTGTTGGAGGGTTGGGAGGGCCCCGATGGACAAACCGGTTCTGCGCATTCCAGCTAAAGTGACATAGCATTCAATGGAAAGTTAAGCAGAGGATTAAGGATGCAGTGCTCAATGCATTTACTTGGCCCTAAGAAATCCGACTGGCTTCTAGCACTGCCAGCTTACCAGGGAAACAGCCTTGTCTGGCTGGCTCATGTCCTTTTAAGAAGCCACTTGAGTTGCAGATGCCAACTGGGTACCACTGCTCAACCTGCTTGGCATCCCAAAAGCCCCAGGTTTGATCCCAGCATCTCCAGGTAGGGCTGGAATACTGCCTGAAACCCTGGAAAGTGGCTGCTGCCAGTCAGTATGGCTCACACTGGGCTTGACAGATCAGAGATTGCAATTAGCAGAAGGCAACTGCCTGTGTTTCTAGTCAGGGCCTGGCAAATTGGCGGAACAACCCATCCCTGAATGCATTTGCTTTCTAGCCCTCAAGAACAAATTCAGAAACAGATCAGCAAATGGCCAGGCCAATAGAGCAGGATTCCTTGAGAGGGCTGCCTTTTCACACCATGGAGATGAACATTATCCACCCATGCGCCAAGCTGCTGATCAAGGCACAGCTGAAAAGCTGACACACAAGAATTGGGCTGGGCTGAAGGCCTCACCCTTGATATCAGTGGGTTTAGCCCTGGATAGATTGTGCCATTCTGCGTATTTGAAGCCTAAGGACTTCGGAGACATTCAGTCCTCCAATGGCAAATTAAACTTGAGGCTGGGCACCATTTGCAGAGCTTGGTAAGATTCAGTACTTGGCACAGACATATTTGCTAAATAAAATGAAATGCCTCCAAGCATTTGCCCTTTTCTGCCTTTCTATACCAGCCATTTTTAGTGCTACCTGAGTAGTTGGTGCTTCAAGTTAGTTGTCTCATTTCTTATTCACTCTAGCTTGGTAGAATAAAATAACCTATTGGGAGGAAAAAAATAGGGGTTCCAGATTCATATCCCTTATTTCCTGTCCTCTGAATGAACAACTATTTGAATGTGGAACAGTGGAGCCTCTGTAGGCAGAGTCAATATATCTTTGAATATCAAATCCAGGTGAAAATTGGGGTTGCCCTCGCTTTCATGTCCTGTTTGAAATCTTCCAGAGGCACCTGGTGATCCGCACAGCGCAACCTGACCTGGACATGAAGGACAAGCCAATTCGTAGAAGGAAGTTGGAGTGTGAAAGGCATACAGGAAAAAAGCCAGTGCTATATATTTCACTGTTAACAGTGAAAGCAAGCCAGTTAGCACAGAGTGGGCTGTTTGTGGAGTTTGGGGCTATCTGTGGAGTTTCTCCACTGCCAGTTAATGTGCCCAATACCTCAAGCCAACCAAGTTATTTTGACACTTGGGGCATAAAATCTCAAAGGGACTTCTCCCAATTCCTAGGAGCCGGTGATGCTGTGCGACAGAGAAGGCTGCATTAGCTTGCCCTCATCTACAATATCCTAGTAAGTTCAATCACTGCGGGGACTGCTTGAGGCCAGTGACTTGCCAGCAAAGGTATACCTTCTGAGAAGATGCCACTTAGAAAAGTGCTGGGCCTTGCTTATAAACTCGGACTAATTACCAGCAAACCTGCTGGTGTGGAAATGGCTGAAGAGTAAATAGATGCTTTAGCACCACATTGTTTCAGCTGTCAAGTGAGATGACAACGTTTTCTCAAGCCTTCTGTTTAGCTAATAGCTTAAGGGAACAATTCATATGCATATTTAGACAGAAAAAGTTCTGCAAGGTGCCAGCCATGTATTCATTTCGGGTGTGATCCTAGGATATTTAAACAGAGGAAAAGCTCTGTGGTTCCCAGCATGGCTGGCTGGAAACATGCTGGGTCTGGTAGGGCTTTCCTGACAGCATATGCATAGGCTTATGCCCTCAGTGCCTTTTTAAAGTGGCTTTGCAGGTCTACACAGCCGTAAAGTGGCATACATGCAAGAGCACAGTCAGATGCAAAATTTAACAGCCACAGTAGCAAGCATACAAAATACTTGGTGTTGCTGCTTTGAACTCAAAAAGCAATTACAAATTCAGTAATTGAATTCCCACCTCACAAAGGCAGCTGTAAACAGAAAGGTCTTTACTGTTTGCAGAAAAATGCCTGTGCAGCTGAAACAATGGCATCAAGTTCAGCAGAATGGATAAAACCATCATGGAGGCTAGCTTAGGCTATGCACACTAATCTCCAGGCAGATAAAAAGGGGGTTGCCTCAGGTTGAAGTTGCATCCAGCCTGGCAGCAGGTAAGCCTGCTCGGGCAGGGCATGCCACAGAGAGGGTCCTTCTAACAAATGGCCCCTCCCCTGGTCCCTTGTTAATCTTTGGAGCGCCTCTCCATCACTCCGGATTAGTCTTGCAAGCAGACAATCATCATGGGCCTGGTTTAAGAACTAGTGGGAGAAGAGCTGTACAGCTGCTCTCAGTTGGTAGTCAAATAGCTGCTTTGAAGGTCTAATCATACCTTACATTAAGGACATAAGTAGCAATCACTCTCTGTGTTTTGAAAATTAAAGGTACACTCCTATGCATGTTTAAAAAGAAAGAAGTCCTATATCTCCCATTGTGCCCCAAGCAACCAGCCAGGGTTTTTTTTTAATGCACCATGATGGCTAGAAGATGCTTGCTTAAATGACTGTTGATGGCCACTGATGGCTGGTAGAACCTGCCTTCTTGAATGGGAACTGGACAAAGAAATAGTTTGGCAGTCAGAATGCAGCAAAGAAAAAAGGGGCATAGAAGTCTATAGAAACGGAATGCAAGATGAAGACTTGGGGACACCAGAAGCAGGCAGAGAAATGATGCGGACAGACCGGCTGGATGTTTTCCTGTTCCCCCATGCTCAGCTTATATGTAATACAGTAAATCACTAGGTATTTTAAAGAAACTATGTAGTGCTTAAACCCTGCAATAAAAACGGCCCTTGGAGCTGGACAAAAAAGAATTTGCAAAGACTCTGTGTGCATGGCAT